TGTGTTCATCCAGCTCTACACTTATTTCAGATTCTCCAGCATCTGCAGTTCCTACTATCTCTAAATTTTGAATCGCAGGGCAAGCGTCGCTTCAATTTCACTTGCTTCAGTAACATGAGCTTTGCCCATTCCCGGCCAATCAAGAACTTTAAAATCATTGCCTTTGTTATGGCCCAGACCAGAATACCTCAAAATATATTAAGACAATAATCTAGACCCTAATTTTCCTTATTTTAAAGGTAGGTATAAGGAATTGTGTCCAGATGCATTTAAGATTGGTCAAATTATCAAACTGAAGCAAAACACTCATTTTTACACTACTGTTAAAATACGGACAAAATAAAAATAAAAGAAAGGAATTCGATTAATTGTAACTTGATCAAAATGCTTAACAAAATAATATATATATATTAATGACTACTAATCAACTGCTCCAATATTGTAACATCCCATAAACAAACCCTTTTCAAAGGCAAATTCAGTAAAATAGATCATCTCACATGCAATTCAAGCAGCAAGAAGAGAACACCCAGCTTTTATCTGTAACAGAGAGAGGAAAAGCCGCCTCCACACCCAGTTTCAAGATCCCAGCAGCAACTGCTACTGAAAGCTAAAACTAAAAATGAACTTGGTTCTGTAGGAGATTGACCCATTTAGACTGCTTCTATTGTTCCAACTTTAAAAAATACCCAAGGCCTCATAAACTGTTTATTTTATTGAATTTGGAGAAGACTGCTCTGTACCTCTGTCTCAACTTTTCTTCATAAGACAAAACAGAACAAAATACACCTCTGAAAGCCATAGTATTGTCAAACCTTCTCAGTTTAAACGAACTTTCAAATCCTGAAACATTTAATTATTTTCTAAATTTTGCTCAAATTTGCCTTCCATTCACAAACTTCGTATTTCTGAAAGTCAAACATGGCTAACTAAATTATCAGCTCTTGGTTTCACAGTTTTTGTAACTTTTTGAACTTGATCTGACCTCTTATATTGGCTTCTCCATAAAAATAAATATGAGTTGCCTTGTGAAGTAAGGCACAAAGGACAATTTTAAGCCTGTCCACCTAGATGAAACTGTTGGGTAGGTGGGTCATTATGATCATCTGGGGAACTCACCTACAATGTCGTACTCAGTCCTCTCAGTTAATTTTTACCTACTCTTCAGAATACACAAAAGACGACTTCTGCTGGAAATTTGTATGCTTATTCTCCAAGTATGAAATGTAGACTTCGATATTTGTAACTAGGAGTAGGGAAAAGATTGTAGCTTTCCAGATTGAAGAAGAGCTGGAGACAAATGAGATTCAAATAGTTATGAGATAACAAGGTGTAGAGCTGGATGAACACAGCAGGTCAAGCAGCATCAGAGGAGCAGGAAAGCTGACGTTTCGGGTCTGGACTCTTCTTCAGAAATGGGGGAGAGGGAAGGGGATTCTGAAATAAAGTGAGAGAGGGGGGAGGCAGATGGAAGATGGATAAAGGAGCAGATAGGTGGAGAGGAGACGGACAGGTCAAGGAGGGGGGATGGAGCCAGTAAAGGTGAGTGTAGGTGGGGAGTTAGGGTGGGGGTTGGTCAGTCAAGGGAAGGCAGACAGGTCAAGGAGGCGGGGATGAGGCTGATAGGTAGGAGGTAGGGATGGGGGTTGAGGTGGGAGGAGTGGATAGGTGGGAGAAAGGATGGACAAATCAGGGAGGCGGGGACAAGCTGGGCTGGTTTTGGGATGCGGTAGGGGGAGGGGAGATTTTAAAGTTTGTGAAGTCCACATTGATACCATTGGGTTGCAGGGTTCCCAAGCGAAACATGAGGTGCTGTTCCTGCAACCTTCAGGTGGCATCGTTGTGGCACTGGAGGAGGCCCAGGATGGACATGTCGTCCAAGGAGTGGGCGGGGGTGTTGAAGAGGTTTGCGACTGGGAGATGCAGTCGTTTGTCATGAACCGAGCGTAAGTGTTCACAAAGCGATCTTCAAGCCTCCGCTTGGTTTCCCTGATGTAGAGGAGGCCACATCGGGAACAGCGGATGCAGTATACCACATTAGCAGATGTGCAGGCAAACATCTGCTTGATGTGAAAAGTCTTCTTGGGGCCTGGGATGGGGGTGATGGGGGAGGTGTAGCACTTCCTGCGGTTGCAGGGAAAAGTGCCGGGGGTGGTGGGGCTGGAGGGGAGTGTGGAGCGGACAAGGGAGTCCCAGAGAATCACTGAGTTACGTCTTTTTAACCCTGGATGCCACAAGGCTTACAACTCTCATGCGTTGAATTTTCCCCTCCATTCATTAAAACCCTCGTAGAATCCCATCTCCTCGACCTGACAGAGTGTCAGGCTTGACCCTTCCCTGTCAATGGCCTCATGTTGCATTTCTGCCCAACAAGATGGTGGCTGTATTTTTGCTGCAAACTCAGTGGCCCTTCTCACTGGTTTTGTGTGGGAAGCTGATCATGGACATGCCTTGGCACCCATCCAGCCAATTACCATCTTAAACTAGAACAGAGTTATAGAGACATTCTGTCAGGAGTTTAAGGTCGGAGATAAATTATCATAAAGAGATGGTAATGGTTGATTTGTCCTGCTTGCCAGTGGAAATCGGGTTAAAATTGCCCTGGGGACCAAGGTGCCAAACTTTGCACTGTCTCCCTTGCCTGTCTTTCATCTTAGCCCAATCCTCTGAACATGTGACAAAGACACCTGCTTGATACCTTAAGGAGTCCTATCCATAATGTTAATTGATGGTCTGAATGGAGAAGCAAGAGAGATAGGAGCCAGAATCAATGGAGGCTCAGCAGTTCCATTAACTAAACATTACTTGAGGTGCCAGGAGCAGCAGAATAATTGGAAATGCTTATACTATATTTGTAAAAAAAAATTGTCATAAATGGACTAATGCTAATTGGAATACTTGTGGCTATCACAAAACATGAGTTGCGCATGTTCTACCCAAACAACTATACTAAATCAGTGGCATTTCTATAACATGGAAATAAATAGAAATTGTACACATTTTTACGTGATGATATTTTTGCTCCATTTTACAGACTGCTCATCCAAAAAAGAGCAGTTCATGCTGTTGATAATGAATTAGCTATGACAGATACAGGAGAACTATAATAGACTGGTCCAACTGTTTAAACCAATGTTTAAAACTCATTTTTATGGATCTTGCACTGTTCATTATATTTGAATAACAATATTTGCCATTTTGGTGCTGTGAGTTCAATGATCAAGGAAAAATATTATCCTGGCCCATTACAAAGGATGCAATAAAAATTTTTTAATTGGTGTATTTTTCCCTTTACTGTACAGAAATTTTGTGCCTTATTTTGAACCGATTCTCTCTGTTTTGCTTGTAATAATTACTCAATCATTTCTTTGGACTGTTACTGCAGTGAATCTGCATTAATTCCTTTTGAAGAAGGCTGTTCATCATCTTTCCAACAATCACATTGCATGGGAAACCTAAAGAATGAAGCCATTTGATCCAAAGTGCATGAGTTGTCTGTTTGAAAGAGCTATTCAATGAGTTCCATGATCTTGCCCTCTTCCTGTTGCCTTGCAAGTTTTCCTACTTCAAACCAAAATGTAATTTGGGAAAATTGGTCTGAAACCAGTTACTCAAAAACAAATCGGTGTCAGAGAAATGGGAGAAATGCAAGGATGTGAGAGTAAATCTCAGAATGAAAATATTCCCACAAAGAAATTAGGATGAAACTCCCAAATCTCAAAAAGTTAACAAAAAGGAGAAGTTTAAGTGAGAACTAAGACCTCAAACCTGTACAAAGTTACTTGAGCTACTAGCGCATTCAACCTTAGAATCATAATCATAATGGCCCAGAATGAGGTCATTCAGCTCATTGTCTGTGGACTAAACTGTTATTCCATTTCCTATTCTTATACCTGCAGCTCTGAAAGTCTATTTCTCAAAAGTTCCCATCTAATTTCCTTATAAATCATCCTTCTCTGCTTTTACCACCTGTTTTAGCAGAGAGTTTCAGATCATTACTATTCACAGTGCGAAAGTGTTCTCTCTTACAACCCCAAACCCCACCCAACCTCACTTCTTTTCACCATACCATACATCTGTGTTCCCTAGTGCTTGTACAATCAGGTAATGCAAACAACTTTTTCTTTGCTTTTTCTGCTTTAAACAAACCTGTCATAATCTTGTACATCTCTATCAAATTCCAAATAATCTCCTTTGATCTAAGGAGCAAACATCCCTCATAGCTGGAACCATTCTGGTAAAATTTCACTTGGACCTTTTCAAGCACATTCTCAGCCTCCTTATTGTGTGGTGACTAGAATTGAATACAATATATTTCTTGTTAGGCCACAATTAATGGTGCAACCTATGAAGCCTAAGATCCCATATGCTTTGTGAACAACTCTCTCAATATGTCTGACCATGTTCTAAGATGCACATGTACTTCCTTTAGGATTGCATATCACTAACCCTTCAGTTAAAATGTATCACCTCACACTTCTGTGTAAAGTTTCATCTGTTATCTGCCTGCCTATTCTGATGGCCTAACCATGTCCTGCTCCACTGGGAGAGGATGGCAGTAAGAAGTAACGGTGGAGGATTCTGGGAGAAGTCGGCTCACTCACCACGACTGAGAAGGAGATTGTGAAGGTCCTTGTGCCAAAGAGCAGTGAGCTGGAGAAGGAGAGAGAGTTTCAGATATCTGGAATTGGGATCTCCTCTAATGAGGGAGGGATCTGTACAAGGAGCATGGATTGAACCTAAACTGGAAGGGCACCAATGTCCTTACAATGAGGTTTGCTAGTGCCACTCAGGAGAGTTTAAGTGCATGTGGTGGGGGTGAAAACCAAGCAGTAGGCAAGCATGTGCAATTATTGAGAAGATAGGAGTTCAGTCAAGTAAGTCAAATAGGAAGAGCAGGCAGAACCAGGTTAATGAACATGGCAGGACTGGTAGTTCGAAGTCTATTTATTTCGATGGTAGGAGTATAATTGGTAAAGTAGATGAGCTTAGAGCTTGAATTAATACATGGAACTACATGTACATTGTGGGGGTTTGAAAGACTTTATTTCAATGCTATCCTCGTATTGTCTGTACTGACCATCTTGATGTTGTATGTCTTGAGGCAGTTCAGAATTGAAGATTATCTTCAGTATTCCAGTCACCCTAATGGGAGATATGACCTGCGCATCGAAGTTTTTTTTTGCAGGGTGTTCGCGATGCTATTGAGCTCAACATGATGATGGCCCTCATTGTTTGTGTGACTTTGTTGGCATCCTCGAGATCCTGATCCCAGATATTTTTGAAAATAGCTGTCAGCAAACTCAGTGTTACTACACTTTCAAATTTTTGCTGGAATTCTACCATAGCCAGGGTTGCCTTATTTGATTACATTTAACAATTCTTCACATGAAGGAGGAAGCAATTAGCTTTTCTTTCCCAGGCACCTGTGAAATTTGATACAGAGAATTTGTTAAGAAGTGGCAGTCTTTGTTTAGGAGACACAAGTTAGTGCTCACATCACCTTCCCACTGCAATTATCTCATCAATGATTAATTCATTACCATCAGGTGTATGGATAGGAGCAAAGATTATGGTGGTTGGCCATATGCTGTCTTCAGCACATTAAAAATTGACAAAAAGGGAGCAAAAGGAGTGTCAAGAAGAGTTTCCACTTCTCATAATGAATCATCAACATGAGACTCCAAAAGACACAGCTGAAAAGAAACAGTGAAAGCATCAGAAAGTACATTTAGAACAGGACTACAGAATCTGACAGGCCTCTGAATTTGTTCAAGCTAAAAATAAACAAATTTAAAGAAATATAGTGAATGAATCTAGCAAAAGAAGAAAAGTCAGGAAAAGGTAAAGATTTAACAGGAAAAGAACACAGTAATTAGACCATAATTTTGGCAGAAAGATTTCTAAGGGCCACAGTCAGAAAATCTTAGTTAAAATTTGTGAAGAAGAAAGTGCTTGATGTTTTAGCATTTAAAAGGTGGGAAATCATTGATTTTACCTGTGGAACAGCGAGAAAGCTTTTTTGTTAATTCAGTTGTAGGGTGTGGGTATCGCTTTCTGGCCAGTATTTATTACCCATCTTGGTTACCCTTGAAAAAGGTGGTGGTGAGCTGCCTTCTTGAACAGTTGTATTCCACCTGCTATAGGTTGACTCACATTGCCCTTAATTCTAGGATTTTGACCCAGCGACAGTGAAGGTAGTACACAGTGCTGCTAGTGAGCGTCAGTGGTGGAGAGAGTGGATGCTTGGTAGATGCGGTGCCAATCAAGCAGGTTGCTTTGTCCTGCATGGTGTCAAACTTCTTGAGTGTTGTTGGAGTTGCACCCATCCAGGCAAGTGGAGTGTATTCCGCGCCTGATGTATGCATTGTAGATGATCAACAGGCTTTGGGGAGTCAGGAGATAAGTTACTTGCCACAGTTTTTCTAACCTCTGACCTGTTCTTGTATCCACTGTATTTAGGTGGCAAATCCAATTGAATTTCTGGTCAATCATAACTCCCAGGATGTTGATATTGGGGTGTTCATTGATGGTAACCGTATTGAACGTCAAGGGTGGTGGTTAGATATTTTCTTACTGCCTAAAATTTGTATGGTTCAAATGTTACTTGCCACTTGTCGGGCCAAAATTGGATATCATAAAGATCTTGTTGCATTTGAACACGGGACTGCTTCAGGATCTGAGGACTTGCGAATGGTGTTGAACACCATGCAAACATTAGTGAACATTTCTAATTCTGACCTTCTGATGGAGCGAAGATAATTGATGAAGCAGTTAAAGATGCTAGTGCTGTAAATGTATTGGAAGATCTTGGCTAGGAGAGTGCCGAGTTCTGGAGGACAAGTGTTCTATACTATTACTGTAGTCTGGGCCCATAGCCTTTGCAATATCCAGTGCTTCCAACTTGATATCACATGGAGCAAATTGAATTGGCTGAAGACTGATAACTGTGATGCTGGGGTCCACTGGAGGAGGCTGAGATGGATCATCTACTTGGCACCTTTAGCTGCTTAAGATAGCAAAACCATAGAAGAAGTAGTTCATGACCATTTAGATTGCTTACAAAAAGTCAGAAATACCCTGAAAGTGGCAAGAAAACACAGTAGGCAGTACAGAGATGCAGTACTAAAATGAAACAAATTTGAAAAGCCTGAAAGCAGTAAATTCTTACAGCACATTTTTTTTTCTTTATTCATTGACAGGATGAGGGTGTTGCTGGCTAGGCAGCATTTAATACCCATGCCTAATTACCTAGATGGCAGTTAAGAGGGAACCACATTGGTGTAGGTCTGGAATCACATGTAGACCAGACCAGGTAATGATGGCGGTTTTCTTCCCAAAAGGACATTAGTGAACTAGTGAATCCAACACTGGATTCATGGTCATCATTAAATTCTTAATTCCAGATATTTCTTGAGTTCAAATTCCACCATCTGCTGTGGCGGGATTCAAATCCAGGTCTCCAGAACGTTATCTTGGTCTCTGGATCGACAGCTCAGCGATGAAACCACTGGGCCATTGCTTCCCCTGATACTTCCACTTGGTACAATTTAAAGTTTTATTAAATAATTTTCTATACTGTAATAGCAATGGAGAGTACAAAAACTCTGGCTCACAAAGGAAATGTTGTTTACAGTCTAGGAAGCGCTATAGCCTTTCAATTTAAAACCACATTCAGAACACAAGCTTAAGGAGCAGATTGTGAACACAGTGAGATGATAGTGTAACTTTACAGTAATTAGAATAGTGAGTACATTGAGGAAAAATAGGATACTATATATTATGACGATGCTGTGACTTTAAGAAGTTATTTTGTCCTGGTTTTGATTTGAAGAGATGTTGTAAGGCAGAGGCGCTGAGCAGTCTACCAGAACTACTAGGGTAAACAGTTTGAGAGGACCTGGGCTTTTTTTTTTTTTTACAAACAGGCTGAATTGGTGTGGCCAGTTCTCATTGATCAGTATTTCTGGGTTTTTAGGTTTAGCTTTAAGCAGAACCTGTGGAAATCTCAACTGAGTTGGAAGCTTCAGTGAATGTCTCCTGGCTGCTATTTTCTGTGAATTTTCTCTTGATATTTTTTCCCTCAGGTTGGAGGAACTGCATGTGAGAATCCGTGTCCGAATTTTGCTTTTTGCTAAGGTGTAATTTACGTGATTTTACTATATTGGAACTATATTGGTTAATTAGTAATAGTTACTGTATCTTTTATTCTGTTAAGTTTTACAATAGAGTTGTTATTCTAAATTCCTCTTTCTTTGGTTGTATTTTAACTATGGTGTTTAAATAAATTGTATTTTGCTTAACGTTGAGTAGTTTGAGCAGTCTCATTGCATCTGAAACAGGCACTTTGCATTTGCCTTTTATAATAAGAACAATCTAGGGTCTAGGTTGGCTTGTTAAAACACTTTGAGGGGGTCTGGCCTGGTATAGCAATATTTACCAACAGACCAAGGTCAAGAAAGGACCATACGGAACATAAAATTGGATTTCATGGAGTCACCAGTTCTTAAGATACTAAACTGCCTCAAAATTAAACACGAAAATTAAAACTAACCAAACTAATGTGCTATTAAAATTCAAAAGTTGAAATTGTAGATGATGTTATTAATAGACAAAGTACAGATGCCCTGAAAGCTTTTGACAATTACTTCAATTTAAAAATAAATAAAATTTTTGAACAAGCAAGATTTAATAGAAATGTCAGCTTTCAGGAAAAGCTGTAGACAACTTTGTTAATGACCTCCATAGATTGATGAAAAAAATGTGAACATGGAGCTTTGAAATCAGGGGTCTTAAGAGACAGAATTGTTGTTGGAATACTTGATGAAACATTCAGAGCAATATTTAACTTTGGAGAAAACTATTCAAAGCTGCTGGAAACAGAAACCAGAAAAACTCATAGACAAATCCTGAGAGGAGAAAACCAGCAGTAATTCAAGAGGGCAACATGGCCTAATCACTTCTTTTATAAAGTATGGACAATCCAAAGAGGCACTTGAGAAATCTACTTCAAGAACAAGCCAAATACTGAATGCAAAAATCTGCTATCATTGCTGCAGGCCAAGCATAGACAATGTCCAACTGTCATGAAGGATTGCTACATATGTATAACAGTAGGTCACTTCCAGAAGATATCTAGAAGTAAGGCACAGTTTCTGAACAGTGAAAGTATTGGTGGTAACATACATAAAGGTGACTGTACTGCAGAATACTCACAACCATTGGAAAAGATGCCTGAACTGATGAGCTATCCCCATTGGAGAAGACACTTGAGGCATTGTTAGGAGAACTTATTAATCCAGACAAGCCAGAAGAGATAGAACTTTTCATCATCAATGGGTATCTTGTTGATTTTGTGCTTGATATAGAATCAGGTGTTAATGCCCTATCAGACGAAATCCGACGGCTGAAGCAGAAGTTACAATCTACAGAAATAAGTGTACAGGTGGAATAACTGTCAGAAATGTAACAATGCTGCATGTTACATGACAACGCTGCATGAGAGTTGCAAATACACATATTGTTTGCAATCAACCATCATTTTGTTTCAGACTGCATGCATATGTCATCAGAACAGTTGGAGGAAATCAATGACCTCCCAGTGAACAACAGAAGCAAACATGTGTCCAAACTCTGGTGCAGGAACAAACTGTTGTTGACTAGTCAAGAAACGACTAGCAAAGACTTTATTGAACTTCCTAGACTCATTGTGGAATCCAAACTTTGAAAAAAGTCTAGTGAGATTTACTTACATTGGCGCAAGAGAGCTGTTCATATTGTCAACACAAAGGGCATTGACTTTACAAGAATGGTAGCAAAAGTTCAATCCTCTGTTTTCAAAAAGAGAGCAGTCAATGCCAGTGACAGGGATAGTCTTGAGTGAGCAGGACTCTTTCAGAATGATGACCAACAGTCTGAAAAAGTTTACCTCATCAGTCAAACAACCACAACAGGTGACAGAAGATGCTGAGGCTTATCTACATCTTGAGTTAAATAAGCTGCATGGAACTCCATGGAGTGAGACAAATGTTTACAAATCTGAGACATGGTCAGGGAGAAGAATTTATCTGGTCTAAGTGTTCAGGATATTACAAAATAGTATATAAAAAAATGCAGTACATAAGTCTGAATGACTCCATGAGAGCTCTAACATATGGAAATCATAGAACATAGAACATAGAACATAGAACATTACAGCGCAGAACAGGCCCTTCGGCCCTCGATGTTGCGCCGACCTGTGAAACCAATCTGAAGCCCATCTAACCTAAACCATTCCATTATCATCCACATGTTTATCCAATGACCATTTAAATGCCCTTAAAGTGGGTGAATCTACTATTTTTGCAGGCAGGGCATTCCACGCCCTTACTACTCTCTGAGTAAAGAACCTACCTCTGACATCTGTCCTATATCTATCACCCCTCAA